AAATTTGTAGCTTCTACATTTTTTTCCTTTTTGTCTTCCAGTTATATGTTTATATATGATTTTCTTGGATTGGGGTCTTGTCCGCCTCAAATTAAAAAGGTGAGATTTGAGTTTTTTCTTATTTAAAGCTGCGTTAAATTTTAGTTTTGTGTTTTTCCTAGATTTCTAGTTTTAATTTTCAGCGTTAATGTTTTATTTGTTTCGCTTAAGTAAGATATAAAGTTCCATTTTTTTTGGCTGTTTTTGAACTTTTAATGTTGTTTTAAGTTGTAAGTTTTTAATTTTTTTTAAATGATCGGGTTCATTCTTGTAAGTTGTACTTATATAAGGGTGAACTACCATATAAAGTTTACATCACCGTTTTTTGTTTTATTTCGATTAGTAGTTATTTATTTATCTATTGGAATCCACTCTTTCATTTTTTTCCATTTCTTAACTTTGTTCAACAAACATTGAAATTTTTATTGTTGTTTCTACAATACTTTTTTTATCTTTCATTGTTCCTCAACAGATGGGTTAGGTACTTTAATGTTCTTACATGATACCATATGAAAATGAATATTAGTTATATGATTGTAGAATTTCATTCATCGTGTTTGCTAGAAACTATTATTAAATGATAAATTAACTTTTCGACATTCAAGTTGATGAAACTATGCTAATAACAATATCTGTAATAAAAATTCATTAATATATTAACTTTTTGTTTTTCGAAATTTATTGCTTATTGTTAGCATTTTTTGTTTTTTTTTTTTTTTTTTTTTGATAGGCGCTTATCCTTAGAAAATTATTTTCATGGTTTTATGTGATAAGTTATTGATAAATCATAAATCATAAACAAAAAGTTACCTTTAAATTAATAAATGGGGTTGATCATGGAATTAATTAATGTCAATAGTGGCTTAGAAAATCAGTGCTTTCTCCTCTCAAATCACTTTCATAGATTATATGGCATGTGCCTGGCCCCCATCCCCCTCTGCAGTCTCCCCAAAGAAAAAGAAATCTTTTGTTAAACTAACCAAGTGCGCTGATTCTCTTTTCCTCGTATGTTTCACATCTAGTTCAATCTACTTTTGCATCTGGTGGACTTAAGGTCATTTATTCTGTCCGCATGCTTCAGTACTAAATAGCTATTTTATGCTCTAGGTGATCTGGGCCAGACGTTCAATTCTCTTTCTACTCTTCAGCATTATATGAAGAGTGGAGGGCAGACAGTATTGTTTGTTGGAGATCTTTCTTATGCTGATAGGTATCAATTTAATGATGTTGGTCTACGATGGGATACATGGGGTCGATTTGCGGAGCAAAGTGTAGCATATCAACCTTGGATTTGGTCTGCTGGAAATCATGAAATAGAGTACATGCCTTACATGGTAAAAATTTTGAATTTTTTTTTTTTTACTTCTTCTACATGTGTAAACATGTTAAACCATTTGAGGATTCAATCATTGAATAATATAATTTCAGTTCTAACTCAGTAATTATATAATTTATCCATACTTTCCTTGTTTGATGTGTTTGCACATTTTCTTCGCATTTAAATGTTTATAACGAGATAATTCTTCTATGTGGACATGTAAATATTGTATTTATGTTCTGTGTAAATAAATTATCTTCTGAATTTAAATACTGAATCTGCCTCTGACTTGCTGGCCTGGAAAATGGAAAAAAAAATGTTGTCTTGCTAAATCAGAACATATGTTGTTATATAATTTCCTAAATGTTTGTTATATAAATTTCCTAATAAAGTTCACTCAGCTTTACCTTGGAATAACTTGATGTTTATTAGCTTCATTAAGTATTAGTCAATTAATTGTAATTCTCGTGCTTTTTTCTCTGATAGGATTCCTTACCTATTTATTTTTCATTTTTAGGATGAAGTTGAGCCTTTCAAATCCTATATTCAACGATATCTGACACCTTATTTAGCATCCAACAGCAGCAGTCCTCTTTGGTATGCAATCAGACGGGCATCTGCTCATATTATAGTGTTATCTGCCTACTCTCCATTTGGTAAATACTAAATAACACATTCTTGCTTTGCACGACAAGTTAAGCTCTTTAGTAGTTTCTGCTTTTCATGTAGGAAGTTCTCATTCCTTTCATTGCCTTTTTATTTATACATCAACATTAGGTTTGCATGTTAATTACTAATTGCTACCAGAGTTGGAGATCGAGAGAATTTTTAATGAACTTTTCCTTTCCTTTCTTTCCTTCTTTTTGGTTGTGGGGGTGTTTGGGTCCCTGTAATTGTACCCTTACATGACAGTATTTAAACATATATTTGAGAAATTGGGAATATACGTTAGAACATCACAGGGCGTCAAATTTTGGAAGAACTGTTTGTGGAACTCTTCCTTTTGTCTGTCCTTTGCATGTTGATGGTATTGGAACTTCAATTGGTTCTAGAAAGTTGTTCACTGCATTGACCGAATTTTGATTGTCAACATGACCATCAGTATATGTCAAATGTCAAGTACGTGTGATTAAGTTATTGAGCTGTCGAGTTTAAGAATTTCCCAAGCAATGTAACGAGTTGTTTTATTTAAGAATGTTGGGGCCAAAATTTGCAGTTCTTCCCTAGCATTTTGTAAGGTCAATTTCTCCAAAAAGAGTATCAATTCAAACATTCAACGTGAGAATTAACCCCGTTTTCCTCCATGTAACTGCAGTATGCGTAGCGTAGTTCAGTCTAGCTGTAAAGTAAACCAAAAGAAATTTAACATTTTTAGTTTCAAGCTAATTTGAACGCATAAACAGGCACTTAGATAAATGATCTCATGTCCATTATCCCATCGTATCTTATGTTTTTCTTTAGTCAATCTTCAAGGCTGCCGACTTTCAAATTTTGCCTTCTTAGAAACTTTATAATTATTTATTTTAGTGAAGTACACACCTCAATGGCACTGGCTTCGTGAAGAGTTGGAAAGGGTTGACCGGGAGAAGACGCCATGGTTGATTGTTCTTATGCATGTTCCATGCTACAATAGTAATGAAGCACATTTCCAGGAGGGTGAAAGCATCCAGTCAGTATTTGAAAGTTGGTTCGTGACGTACAGAGTTGATGTTGTCTTTGCTGGCCATGTCCATGCTTATGAACGATCGGTATGTTGCTGTTTCCCTTTTGTGCCGTATGATGATATGCATAGATTGGGATATTTTCTTTCTGGTGTGCAACTTTGTTAAATAAATGCTCATGTTTACCTTGTTGCTTTGTTATAATGTCATTCAAATTTCTCGTTTATATCTCATATCTTGATGCTATTGGAAATTGACATTCACAAAATGGTATAGTTGATAAACAAGCAAACTTCATTAGGCAGGCAAGGTTTTACTCCCATACTTTTGACCAAACATGTTATAATAGATTATCCAATATTTGTCAGAATCTGGAAGGTAAAATTTTAAGTAAGATTGCATGCTGTATCATAATCTGCATGTACATTATTATACTTAGACAATATAATCAACTAACCTCAATCATTAGCCAGTATAGGATGAAATTTTTGAAACAAGTTATTGAGTTCTTACTCCACAAAAAGCACAGATTCTGATTTATTCTGTCTGACTGGTGGTGTTCGAATCATGTATTTCAGAGGTCATCATATAGTGCTTCCTTCTCTGTCAGATAGATAGGGTGGTCTGCATATTTATTCCTCCCGTATACTTAAACAAATGCGTACACTGTGAAGTTCATGTCACAAACACACCGTTTTCTCCTATTACAATTGTCGCCTATTTGGATCCAAACTTTAATTTTTCCTCTTTTCCTTCTTAATTTTAGTATCGAATCTCAAGTATAAACTACAATGCAAGTGGTTACCATGACACCGTACCAGACAAATCAGCTCCTATATACATTACAGTTGGAGATGGTGGTAACCAGGAGGGTCTTGCTGGAAGGTAAACTGGAGCGTTCACTAAATTTGCTCGTTGATATCAGTTTACATTTAAGATTCAATCTGTTTAACGTGTGTTATGGTCTGTCCGTCTGTATCAGGTTTAGAGATCCACAACCAGAATACTCAGCATTTAGAGAAGCCAGCTATGGGCATTCAACTTTGGAAATCAGAAATAGAACTCATGCATTGTACCATTGGAACCGAAATGATGATGGGAAAAAAGTGGCAACAGATGCATTCGTTCTACGCAATCAATACTGGTTAGTGTACTTTTATGTTATGATGATTCCTTTGTTTTTTTTTTTTTTTTTTTTTTCTTCCTTTTTAAATGAAAATTCAAGCAAAGAGACGGATTAGAGGAGGAAATCTCAACTCAAAATGAGTCAAAAACAAAAACCCTTATAAGAAGGGCTTCAATCAATTAGAATTACAATTTAATGCTAGAAGCATGCTATTAAAGCAAGCTTATATTCCATATTAAACGAAACAAATCAACAATAAACATTGATATAGTTTGTGTAGTTATTTGCCATTGATCATTACCACATGTTCGTGTATGCAGGGCTCATAACCATCGAAGGAGAAAACTGAAGAAACATATTCAGATGGTGATTCGTGAGAACATGACCGCCTGAGACTTTTAATATGCCTGTCTTACAGTCATGGTTAGCTCTGGCTTTTCAAATGGATTCATTCGCATGGGAATGTTGTTTGGATGGGATCTCAAACAGTTTATTAATGCCTCATGTCTGTACTTTTATATGTTATTTCTAGCAGGCCGGCCTTTGAATTGAACAGTCGACGCCAAGTGGCTGTTCATATTACTTCGAAGGCAACTTACCAATGTTTTGCCTTCGATTCCGTGTGATACTTTGACTGAAAAATGAAAATAACTCAAATCAATCGGTTACCATAAAGATGTACATAATTTTCCCTTCAAATTAACATATTATATATATTATAACCAAAGTTTTAATTGTATTTCTAGATTTTGAAAAGTTTCATTTATCCCCTAAATTTTGAAGAAGTTAAAAAATAGACGAAAATTAAACTGTAAATTTCAATTACATTCGAAAAGTTCTGAACTCCCTTTGGCAATGAAAGCAAGACCTCGAACTTCTACCATCAAATTGGAAAGAAAAAAAAAAAAAAAAAATTCTTTAATACAATAATTGTACAAGGGTCGTTGACCGACTTCAATTCTAGGCAAGGATTTGGAGTTAAAAAACAAGGTGACTGAGGGAAAGAGAACGATGGAAAAGAAGAAAAACTCTAAAATTAATGAAATTCACACTATTTGTACTTGATCAGCTCGGGATTTTTAAGGCACTCTTGCCTTTTCCTTCTTCTGTGATATATATTCTGCTCTTATAGCCCACAACTGCTCTCCAACTAACTTCATATCTGGACGGTCTGCTCGAACCGGTGCTGCACATTGGATCGCCAACTCGAACATTTTCAGGACAATCTCTGCCTCCAAAGTTTCCTCCATTAAAGGATCTAACGTTTCCAGAATTTTGTCTTCACTATACTTGTTGAAAGCCTGCAAAATACCCAACAAGCAACTTCAGAGGTTGAAGTAATGGCAAGATGATTCATAAACAAGTTTATATGCTATCTGCTAAATTTATCCAACTTCTTATGCCGAATGTGATCACATATGAAATTTGCATCCTAAAACGTAATGAACACTCAACTTAAAAAATTATCTGAACTTAACAAATTTCTTACAAGTCCAAACAGAAGCATCCAAGAGAATGATTAGAATGTTTAAACTCACCCATTTTATTGTGACCCGCTCCTCTGGAGGCTTCTTCACTTCCAATGGACGGCGTCCAGTTAGAATCTCTACTAGTAAAATCCCAAATGAGTAGACATCACTCTTAGGGGTAAGTTGATAGGTCTTCATATAGTCCGGATCAAGGTAACCGACTGTTCCTTTCACCTGAGTTGAAATGTGCGTTTGTTCACTACCCAATGTGCCAAGTCTTGCAAATCCAAAATCCGCCACCTTTGCTCTCATGGTTTCGGTAAGAAGGATGTTGGAAGATTTCACATCTCTATGAATAATTTGCTTCTCTATTGTAACCAAGAAATAAAGATTAACTGGCTGGAAAGCAGAAAAGATCCAATACCATCATCCCAAACAATACTTCAAGAAATCTGAGCAGGGAAATTTGGTTCCATGTAAATTCAATTAATTGCTTTAATAATTATAAATCAACCCTTTGGAACAGATTCTAGTGAGTTGCACAAAATAATTATTGAATCAGATTTCATAATTATTCAGTCATATTTAATAATTTACTAAACACAAAGTTGAATGACAGTCTTTAGAAGTCATGTTTAGAAACTGCTTTTCAGAAGCAATTCTACATTCTTTTAGACAAAAGTTCATTAAACACAAAGTTGAATGACAGTCTTCAGAAGTTATTTTCTATGTTGTTCTTGCCAAAGAACCACCATTAGTTCCCCTAGTAGCAAATAAGAAATAAGAAATAAGAAAAGACTTGGAGAAAATGAGTTTGAGCCATGAAGATCATCTACCTAAGATTTAATGTCCAAAGTGTCTCGTCAATTAAATATAATAAGATCAAATAGTTGTCTCATGAAATAGCCGAGATGCATACAAATTAGCTGGAATACTCAAGAATGTAAAGAAAATGGTTCTTTCCAAGGAATTTTCAGAAGTAATTGGAGGTCGACAAAATTTAATCTAGATAATCATCTCTCAAAATCAATTTTAAAAAATAAATATTATTTTGGATATAGTGTCGCAAATAAGCCCCAAATGTCAAGTTTAATAAAGTAAAAAAAAATCTAATTACACACACAATCAAATTCATATGTTGCGTTAGAAATTTTTGTCCAGTTTCAAAGTTGGCCCTCCCTGATATAAAAAAAATGACTGACATTTCCAGAATAAGCTCACCAACAAAAGAGTTTCTAACCTGCATATAGATGGAGATAAGTTAGTCCATGAGCAATGTCAATTGCAATTTCAAGTCTCTGATTAAAATCCAATACTTTCCCATGCACACCTACAAGGAGAAAAGCGCAGTCAATGAGCCTTGATGGAGCCATCAGCATTAAACAACAGTTTAATTTTTAGTCGTCCATAGGGTAGAAACATTACCATCCAAATGTTCTCTAAGAGTACCGTTTCCTACATATTCCGTAATGATGATGCGCTCATTTCCATGGTCAACATAACCTAGCAGCTTAACCAGACTCCGATGATCAATTTTGGACAGTAATTCTACTTCACTGCCAAAGTCAGTCCGTGAGTTCTCGAAGAGTTCCTGCAAAATAATTGTGTTAAATTATACAAGCCCTAATATATTATACGTCAAAAGGTCTAACTATCCTCAAATTTTATTTAAAATGAGGGAAAAACTAAATTGTTGTTATTTGTTAACTTTTCAAAGGTTAAAAAGAGAAAAAAAAAAATTATACCCCTAAACTGATTTCCCTGAGATCCCTTTCTCGCCAGCAACAAGAACTTAGGTCAAACTGAGTTTGTTTTATGATTTCAAGTTTCTGGAGGATAATTTATTAACTAAGCTTCCTTGGAAGAAGGGTCTTCCTTTTTGCTCTTGATATGAACTTGGAAAGGATAGGATAAACAACTCTATAGCATTGCATAGGCTCCGCGATCAAACGATTTAACCCTTAGTCAATAGAAGAAATAGCGGATCTAATGATCCACCTTTTTTTTCTTTTTAGAATCCATTAATACTAACATTTTAGAATATACTGTGTTTCTATTGATCTATTATTTTATTAGCATCAAGAATCCCAAATTCCTCTTGATTCCAGTCCAACTACAACTTGAAACCCAACTTGGAAAAGATAAAGACCCGACAACCGTTATTATTGTTAGGTTGCCATAGTCCCAAGGACTGCCACTAAGTCCTTGTTCTTCTATCCTTCATTCCGACTATTTCACAATTTTTTGTGATGGCACAGATGAATAGTAATATTCCTCCTTTCCTCCTCGTATTCCCAAATTCTTACAGCCTCCTTGTTTATGTTCCCCCATTATGACAGCAATAGTAAGGTAAAAATGGTGAATCGTATTTCAGTTGTAAGAGATCAAGTACAAGGTAACCTTTTATGCAACTTTATTTGAAGTAATCCTTCACTTAAGACTACTTATATAAATTGTTATAGAGTTATGATTCAACGAGATTCTGTTTTACAGAAAAGTTCCAATTTTCGACTCCACAATCAGAGAAGATCAGAAGAATTTTGCTACAAAAGATCAATTGCGTGTACAGATTTGGAATACTATTTCCTCCACGTACGTAGTCCTTTCAACGATTCAAGAAGCATCCACAATAAACAGGAAATCGTCATTATTCCTTCTAATAGAACCTAGATTCAAACGTCCTGCAATTGTTGGCTCTAACTTTTGTCCCATCATAAATTATGCGAGTAGTCAGTCAACCAATGAGAGAAAATGGAAAAAGCTAGATATGAATCTAACTAATCTGTTCAAGTACGGGAATGAGAAGTCTAATATGGTCCTTATTACGTGATCCTCAGAACCATATGAAGCACATGGTTTTAACATAGTGACAAGAATAGGCTGAGTGGCATCACATTACTCTTTCATGCAATGCTAAGCCTTCCCTATCCCAGGAGGGTACATCCCCCAGATGCCTTAGAGTACTCACATGTCACCCTAAATTATACCATGCTTGGCTGGCTACTTATGCCTATTAACCACTTAACTGTATGCTATAGGAAATATGTAATATCGTCCTCATAGTGATGTTGTTTTGAAAGCTAAGATTAACAGATTAGATGTGCAACATGTGCCCCACTTACTGCTGCTGTATGAGACAGTGGGTTCATCCATGAACACTAACATACATAGAATTTGAGATTTTACAATATACTATCATTACCATTAGATATAAGCGAGTACAAAAAAAACATAAAAAGTTGGTACTTGCCTTTTTTGCACGTTTTATGGCAACTATGTGCCCGTCTTCTAGCCGAGCTTTGTAGACAGTTCCAAAACCTCCTTCACCTATGCGTAGAGCTGGTGAGAAATCCTGAGTTGCTTTAGCTACTTGGCTCATGTTAAGACGAACAGATCCAAGCCGTTTAAATTTTGGAGATGGAGAATATCTAGGACTAGGTGGTACCCGAAGTGGACTAGCTAGAATCTTCTCAGGAGCAGAGTTCATCACTTCGATGGTGGAGGCTAAATGAACTGCAAGAAAGGACTAATAACTCAACCCTTCAAGGATTGAAGAATGAATAAAATGTCACAAATGAAGAATTAAACGACAACCCTGCAATGGCCATTCTTAGTGGAAAACAAAATTTCTTAATGGAGTTGCCACCCCTCCATTTAACCTTTTGACAGCTTTAATGGGAGATGGGTGACGCAGAATCCATAAGTAACAATACCCCTCATTATCACGAAATGCAAAAGAATTCAGGAGAACCAATAACTCACCTGATTGTTGTTCTTTATCTAAAGCTCTTTGAACAGTGCGTCTCCTCTTTTGATAGAAACAAGGACAGAGGACACCACAACATAAAACGAAGGTTCCAGTTACTACAATTCCAATGTTTTGGGGGGTTGCAAAAGACTTCGGATCCTCTTTTGCCTTCCAATGACGATACTGACCATCTTTAAAGTTGGCGTCTTCCTCCTTCCGTTCTTCTTTTAACAATTTTCTTGATGCTTTGACTCTCATACCAGCTGCAAAAAAGTAACACTTCTATTACATAAATACCATGTAAAGTCAGCTAGAACACATCTGAAGTTGACAAATAGGAATTATGAAATTTGTTAGATCATGAGTTTATAAGTAAGCAATACTATCTTCATTGGTACGAGGCCTTTTAGGGAAACCAAAAGCAAAGCCGTGAGAGCTTATACTCAAAATGAACAACATCATATCATTGTGGAGAGCCGTGATTCCTAACAAAAGTGACTAAGTTTCAAAATGAAAAACACAATATAGAGTACTTACAGAATGAACTATCCCAACGGCAACCATCACTTCCCCAAGAATCTTCAAGTATGCGAGGATATCCATGCAAAAACTGTAGCAGCTTACAGAACATACTTTTATCCATAGGAATCCCATTCATGAAATAACGTTCAAAACCATCCGAAACTGAATAGGGAATCTGATTAGCACTTGAAACCCCAGATTCCATCATAAACTCAGAAGCAAATACTAATGGCGATTGCACCAACATCACGGCCGTAATAGAAGCTACTATACATGATACAACAAGAAGAAAAGACATCTTTGAAAACTAAACACTGGAAAGCGATGAGACGTTTTAATCAAATTATTCCATCCCGATCATCAAGCTGAGCCGAAAGTGAAAATATCTAGAAACCGCTGCCAGTTTATGTCAAAAATTCAACTAGCGAGTCCAGTCATCCACCAGCACGCTAGGTGCAGAGCCAACTTCTATGATGTCCAGTTCATCAAACGACCGAAAAGAAGCAACAGAATCTAAGGCAAACACGAGGTCAAAAAATCAAACGATACAGCAACTATAACTTAAAACAGCATCCAATGAGAAGATTACACGACTGTACCATGCTCTCGGAGGGGGAAGATTACACAACTATAACTCAAAACAGCATTTATTTCTCTTACTGCCAGCAAAATTCCATCCAATTTCAGCCAATTCCTTAAACGAACAGTTCATCTTCATCAGAGGGGGAAAAAGTCCGATATCGAAAATAGCAACAATTTTCCAAAGTAATTCCCGAAATTACGCTAAATTTCAGCAGCAAAACTTACTCGAACTCGGAGACGATCTAAACTCGCTTCACGAATCGCCCAAATCAAGTTCCGATCAGAATAACAGCAGCAAGAGATGCATCGCCGGCGAACGAATCAATAGAGTGGATAACAACGAATCCGAAGGCAGTAGCCGACGAAAACAACAAAGAATCGTAGAGATAGAGAAGGCAAGGTAAGAGAGAGAAATCCGCTTGGAAGGGATGAAGAAAGTTGAACTTGGTTGTGCAAAGCGAAGTCAAAGTCAACATTTTGCAAGAGAATGGGGTTGGACAAAGTTGACTGCTCGTAAAACACCATTTCCATCACATTATTCTACAAGATTATTATCAAATTACTAATCAACGGCCCAGAATCCAAGTTGCCTTATGTTGCTGTAACCGATCAGATGGTTGAGATTTTTTCTCAGGTTAATCAATATTTCATCAGGGCTAAAAATTCTCCATATTTTCTTCTTTTATGCAATTTAATTTATTTTTAAATTTATTTAAAATCACCCTTAAAAATATTAATGGTGAAATTAAAGTTACTTTTTTTCATTTAAATATTATTTTAATCTCTACCTGTAAATTTAATATATATATATTATTTTATTCCTCACTATATTGATATTTTATCTAACATCCACTTGTGAAATCATTTATTACACATGCTCAAAATATATGATCAAATCAAAATAAATATAAGATTAAAATTAACATTTTTTTTTAATTCATAAACTAAGAAATAAATATTTTAAAAGTTTGTGGACTTATTTTAAAAATCAAATCGGACAATAATTTGAACCCCAATTTGTGATGATGATTATTGAGAGTGAGTTCCACGTTGTAAATTTTAGTGGAAAATTAGGATTTATAAGTTAGAAATACTATATCTATTAGTACGAGACATTTTGGGAAAGTTCGAAACAGAGCCATGAGACCGTATGCTCAAAATGGACAATATCATTATCATTGTAGATAGCTGTAATTCCTAACATGATATAAGAGTTATGCTCTAAACTTAACCATGTCGATAGAATCCTCAGGGGAGACTTATAGTGTACTTTGTTTGAGATGAAAAATGTTGATGATTATTGGGAGTGAGTCATGATTTCTAACCGTTTGGTTATTCCACGGTTCTTTAATTAAATATTTTATTTATTATTATTATTAAATAGTTTTCTTTAATACCTTCGTTTTTATTTAAATTTATATTTTTTTAGGGAGTTTGAGGGTAATTTTCAAATATGCGCCACCTCAGCCAGTGCTCAATAATGTTAAAACAATAATTGCAACAATATCCTCCTCTTATCTCATATTCATCGCTTTTGGACTTTATGATGAACATTAAAGAATACTCTAGTGGCATTATATGAATCGTATTTTCATTCTTTTTACATTTTAAAATTTGTGATCCATATGATTTATTTTATTTATTTTATATATTAACGTCGTGTTTTGATAACATAATAATAAAAACTTTAATGTATAATAATATTATGCACGGTTTCAATTAAAAAAATATGTCACCTAAATTTAATAGATAATATCAGTTAATTTCAAAATAATATAAATATATTTTTTTTCTTTACTATAATGAGTAAAAAAAAAAATTAAGATTAAAAAAAGAAAACCAAACCAACAATAAGGTTTAAATAAGCTAACAGGCCAGACTTCACTGAAAAGCCCAACAAATCAGTTTACGGGCCGGACTTCTCTTATTTAATGGGCCCGTATTAATTTTGCGTCAGAAGCCCAACAGTACTTAGACTGCTATTATCATCCATAGAGCTGCATAAGAGCTAAGCGTAAATAGATTATGATTTTTTTTTTTTCGTTTCATTTAACACAATAAGAAAGAATACAAAATTTGATGTGTCGAAATCGAGCATCAAATCAAATAGATTGATGATAGGTGCAATTATAGCAACAATGACGTTTCGATTGTAATAAAAATCAATCGATTAGATAAAATAGTCGTCGTATGAATTTATTTTTCTATATAATAAATAAATAAATAAATAAAAACTGCAACTTCACTTACACTATCATTTTCTCATATACCCTTCGAGAAAATGCACTTTTTTCTTTCTCACGTGCACGCACCATTCTTCCACGTGTTAAGGTAATTCTCCCACTTTTCTTTTGTTTTTATTTAATTTTATTTTTCAGAAAGTGTTTAAATATATAGTTTTTATTTTTAAATTAATAAAAATACTCCTCCTTTTACATTTTCTCTAAAAATACTTCCTATAAAATACCTTAAACTTGTTTTAATAAAATTAAAAAATATTATTATACATTTTAAAAACACTCATAAACTTTCAAAAGTAATATAAATTTTTTTTTGAGATAATTTATAAAGATTAATGATTAATGGGTTAATCTACTTTTAAAATTTAATGATTATTTTTTAAAAAATATATTTTTTTTGACACAATAGAGTAATTTAAAATAAATTTCATTAAAAAAATTTATCAGTGTATTTTTTAAAATGTTGATGAATTTTTTTAGACAATATAATATTTTTAATAATTAAAAAAAATGGTATACAAGATAGAGATGAATACAAAATTTCATGTAAGCCTTATATTTGTATAAAATAATCAGATATGACACGTGCTCGTTTTGACGTGGCCTGAAGCCAGCCAATCATTTTTTGTCATATTCAAAGCATGCGCTCAAGGCAAGCTAAGTTGAATAATTTAAACTTTTAAAATAATATAATGTCTAAAAAAAGAGGGATTAAATACGTGGGATTACACGTACAAAAAAGAGTGGACATACACGTGCCACGTCAAGATGTGTGATGTCTATTACAAATAACTATAAGAATAAAATATCAAAAGAGACAAATGAAAAGGAATATTCAATCTTCAATCAAAACCTGTCTAATAGATAATGGTCAAACTTTGATTGTTGACTGATATAATATGCGTCCGATTTTAGTTGGATGGTTTTTCAACGGCTGAGGTTTATTCTACTTTTATCATAAAATAATAACGTGTCATTTTATTGTCGGTGCTAAGATTAATTCCAACCCCTAAAGATTAATTTGTGTAAAATTAAATGCAAACCATATATTATACGTTAATGAAAAGAAATTAAAAGGTACCCTATCATTGGATGTAACGCAAAGATGAATCACGTGCCATAATGACATGCTCAAAGAACTCGCATTAGTGTGGTATTGTGCACAACGTACTCTCCTGCTTGAATTAGTGCTTAGATTGAAGCGACGTATAGCTGAATAAAAGTCATTGACGACGAGTCGGCTCCTATACATCTAACTATGCCTTGCTTTGTCCCCTAACACGGTGGAGGTTCTATGGCACATCACGAGCAATTGAGCTACTCAAGCGAACCACCCTTACCTTACTACAACATAGGGATAAAAGGGAGAAGGTTGCGAAGGTGACCTCATTATCCACACATCTGATCGCTTTCTCCAAGAGCTTCCCGAATGATTAGATTCAACAAAATGAAGTCAGCACATCTATGCGTGTGTTATATTCCACTATTTATAGTGAGTACTAGAGGAATACTCTATCACATCACAAGTCATTATCTCAATACTACACTATGCATCCTACTAACAACAAACATGTAGGTCGGTTAAATCAGACAATCAATTGCACGTTGTGCTAAAGATGAGTTGTTTCTCTAGACTTTTAGGCGTACATTTTTTTTTATTATTATTTTGTATCTAATATGAGTTCAATATTTATTCTCATACTTTATACTAAAAATAATATATTTTCTTAAAGTTTGTATAACTATTTAACAATGAATACAATCGTTATTACCGTCATTTTAGCATAGTCATTAAAAATCACATCAATCTGAACATAGTTTAACGAACCATATACAAATCACAAGGTTAAAAAGTCAAAGAAAAATTTATAGTAGAATTAAAAAAAATAAAAAAAAATTAATGGAACAAACTAGCTTTTTTAGCTCAACAAACAATTTAAAATAATTAATAATTATATTTGGCGTTGGAAATGGTTGAAAAAAATAAATAAAAGGGTAAAGAGTGCAAAATTGGGAAGGTGGGACCGGGCGTGCTTTGTCAACTCACGAGTGGCAAATCTGGTAAAACGGAATTGTTTATAAATAAATAAGTAAATAAAAAGAAGTAAATAAATATGGTAAAAGGAATAATTCTACTGAATATACCACCAAAGCCATCAAAGCCAGCGAAATAAAACGTGACTCGCCAGCACACTACATTCTGATTAACTAATATTTAAAAAAATATATATATTTAAAAATAATAAATAAAAGGCATGAAATCCCAGGATAAAAAGGTAGAAATTATTAAATGACCATATGTATATCTAAAATTAAAATATTATATTATATAATATCCAATTTATAATTATAAAATTTTAATTTATGAAGAAAATGGTGAGAGTGAAGTAATTTGGAGCGTATTTTTTTAGATTCGTGTAGAAATTCACGGAAAGTAGGCGTATTTATGGTGAAACGCATAGCGATAACAGTGGTGAGCTTTTTTAGCGCGCTCACCGGGCAAGAAAACGACACCCAATTCCGAATCTCTTCATGGTTTTGAGTCTTGGATTGTCAGAGTTTGCCAATTTTCAACGTCGGAGGCGAGCATATTCTTCTCAAATCTTTCTCTTTCTCTGAGAGTTTACTCTCTTTGTCTCTCTTTCTGAGGGAGGAGAGGCCGGAGAAGAGAATCGAGGTTTTAGCTTTCAAGTATAATGGCTGGAAATGATTGGATTAATAGCTATTTGGAGGCAATTCTTGACGTTGGGCCTGGTATTGATAAAACCAAGTCTGCGAAGAAATCGTCGTCGTTGCTTCTCCGAGAGAGGGGGCACTTCAATCCTACTCGGTATTTTGTTGAGGAGGTCATCACTGGCTTCGATGAAAGTGATCTGTATCGCTCCTGGGTTAAGGTAATCGGATATCTATTCATTTCTCGCCTGATTTATCGAACTAGGCGTTGCTTTCTCTGAACTCGAGTTGCTTGCTATGTTTGTGTGTTCAAGGCTGCAGCCACCCGAAGTCCTCAGGAGAGGAATACTAGATTGGAGAATATGTGCTGGAGGATTTGGAACTTAGCTCGTCAGAAGAAACAGGTTTGTTTTCTTGTTTTTTGTATCAATATAATCGCGCAGATTATGTGGCTAGTTCGCATGCGACATAAGCTTATTGAGGAATTACTGGATTGTTTGATCGAAAAAATTATGTATGAATCTTGTTATCTCTTCTGTCTCCCTCTGAGATTTGTGGC